AATTGAGCTGGATCAAGTGCTGACATTCAAGGAACCTCTAAACGCCGTCTTCCCAGATATTTAATTTGCAATGGAGGAAGAAGAAAACAACCAGCTGGCATTCGTGGATGTCCTCGGTGGTGGTGGCCCAAAAACTAAAGTGTCCAGGAAAGACAACAACTGTGCAAATACTGAACTTCAACAGCAACCACCCAATCCTTCAAAAATGGAGCTGCGTAAAAGCACTTTACGGTGCGTTGAAACGCATTACAGCGAAGTGGAAAACAAAATTGCTGAATTACAACATCTTCGACGGGTACTGAGAGCGAATGGCTACCCGCGCAATTTTGTCAACCAACGCATACGCAAACGAGAGAAGAAGCCACATCCAAGTGGCCCTACAGTTTGGTGAGCTCTTCCGTACTTGAAGACTGTATCAGAAGCTGTCAACTGTCTGTTCACCCTACTTGGAGTTGGAGATGCGCACAGGCCAGAAATGCAGTTGTGGACAAAGTAACTACGTCGAAGAAACCGGAAGATTACTCTGGACGCGAATGGCCGAGTAGGCAGTGGCGTTGAGGAAGAAAGACACCAACTCCCATGTTGCAGCTCAATGAACGGGACCTGACCATATTTTGAAGTTTGACGAGGCCGAAATCTTCGCAAGAGGTGACAACCGCGTGAACCGTGAGCTGCTCGAGTCATGGTTATTAGGCCCAGTCCATCAACAAGCACAAGGATTTGGCGTTCCCATACTGCGTACTGAGACAGTGTCTGAGCAAGAGAATCAATCACGTGGGAAGGCCTGGCCCAACAACAACTCTGGCGACAGCGAGCAATTACTTAGCCTGCAACGGACACGGACAAGGAATTCGCGGCTATTAATGAGTCAAACGCGAAGATTCAAACCATCACCGCAACTATTAAGACCCAAACGATGGCTACAAAAGTGGCTAAATATAATACGTATGCTGTTGACCGCTACGAATTGTGAATACCGTGCAATCTATGCATGTTTCACCCTTTTCTGCGTATGACTCAGAATAAAGTACAACAACCTATCTTGGTACCGAACGTCTGAACGTGCGAACACTTCTGGAACCTGGTACCCAAAGTCTGACGGTAGGCAGGCTCTAACAGTACAACGCAGAAGAAGAAACTGCGACCCCTGGAACAAATGTCTTATTTTCCTGACGTTTCGGATTTCGCTGGGAATAAGTAATCGTTCCCCGGATGCCTCGGGTGGAAGTAAAACGGCTAACCGACGAGGCTATAGAAGCCTACAACAGTGAGGATCAAATTCGGTTATCAACTACAAAAGAGCGGTATCGAAATTTATTGAAAACTCCTCCCGCCAAACGGACGAAAAGCCTCAAAAGTGTAAGGGATGCAACTTATAAAGATGAGGTCTGCACATCATGTTTTACGCTTCTTCACAAATTTCCGAACCACGAGAAGGAACTAAATAGTCTAAAAATGGAGATGGAGGAATTGAAGAAATCTCTTCGCCTTCTCCTTAAAGAGGACAAAACGGTGATGTCTGAATTTGAGAGAAACAAGCAGACGAGCGTGAATGTAGAATCCCAGACCATAGCATCTACTGAGGAAAGTGAACAGACACCGTCAACCCGGGCCGAGAAACTGGTAGCTTCCATTTCGAAACCCCCTGATGCCGCGCGAACCAGCGCTCCCACTAAACAACACGCTCAAAACTGGGGAGAAGTAATCTTTACTGCTTCTGGAAGGAGACTTTATAAGTCCACTTTCTAGTAAACTCGGTGCAGGTACAGAAATCCAGCAAAAACAAGGTAGTGGGTATGCTAAGGCTACATACAAATCACTGAAGGGAACCACAAATGCAGAAGGGGGCAGCACGAGGCCAGGTATGAACAGTGCCATCCCAGCTTCCCAAAGAAGCCTCTCTCTGGTGAAGATAAGGAAAACAAAAAGTCACAAGTCATTCCTATCAATACCTCGAGGTCTTCCGATGACAAGAGGGTTAGAAATATGTGAAGGGGTCCTCTTGACCGCCATAGTTGTTCAAGGCCTACCTGAGTCAAACGGAACTTCTCCGAAGGAAAGGACGGAGCGGACGTTGAAAAGTTTCGGGACCTGCTAAAAGACATTCTCAGACAGCGAA